CTACCCTGTTGCTAAGTTTATTTCACTTCAAGTGTAACATCTGTTTGTCAGCTCTGATGTATCTGCACAGACTTTTTATTCGTTGGTCTGTCAAGCATACTAATTTAAATTTTATATTTATTAATTATGGTAAAATTAAATTGGTCTTGAGATAGGCATCTCATATCTTAGTTATATTCATTTTAATTATTTTTAATTATAAATTCTTTCTTTTTTTATTATTTAAATAAATTTTAAATTAATTATTTTTAATATTTAGTTAAATTATAATTCTTGTGGGTTTAACATTCTACTTTTTATCATTAGAGAATCAAACACATATTGGGAGACTGATTGATATTGATACGTAGGCACCATTTACTTTTACGCACTGGATTTTCTATACATGCATATGTGCGTTTAATCCAATTTTAAAGAACTACCTGGTACAACATTTTCTACTTTCTTCAATAACAATTTTTCTTTTTGCCAGTTCAGATTGAAAACCTGCTTTCTCATCTTGAATTTACTACATTGAAGAAAATTTGTTGTGAAATGTCATTTTAATAAGGTTAAATGTGAATTTAACTTCTTTAATTTTAAAATTTTACATTATTTTTATCTTTTAATTTTTTTCACATATTTTTTCATTCCTTGACTCTTGCAAATATTTTTTTTTCTTCTGACAGTTAAGCATAACGTGACATATATTACCATCAAAAAAATTTTATTTGACGAGAAAGTAACTGTGGAAGGAAAAATGACGGATAGCGCTCTCTCCTCTGATCCCCCTCCCTCTACTGAAGAAAGCGATTCGCTGGAACGTAGTACCAAGAGAGTCAAGGATGATACATGTCCCCCTCCTAACCCTCCCCCAAATGTGGAAACAGCCGCTGCATCCACACAGAAAAGCTTTCGAGATACTCTCATTGATGGAAGTTCAACCCTTTCTCCACCACTAATAACTTTGGAGGAATTGATGGTTGCAGGTAACAAAGAATCATCTCAAGCCCCGATGGTAGAAGAAGAAACCACTGGAATCCCTAAAAAGCCAATCCCTAAAGCTTTTATTCCCAAGGAAATTTGGCAGAGGCTCTCCACACCTTGGAAGAACTCTCTAATTGTTAAGCTTTTAGGGAAGCGAGTCAATTATCATATGTTGTGTGCAAGATTGATGCGTGAATGGCGAACTGAAGGTGAATTTTAGGTTATTGACATTGGGAAAGGATACTATGTGGTGAAGTTTTCATCCATAGACAATTGTTCCAGAGTTTTGACAGGGGGCCCTTACAAGTTTTTCGATCATTACTTGGCTGTTCAGCCTTGGGAACCGAATTTTCAACCTTCTAGGGCAAAACTTCCTAAGACTGTGGTATGGGTTAAACTCTATGAAGTTCCAATGGAGTGCTACCATGAGGCATCTATCCTGTATTTGGGGAATAAAATCAAAAAGGCTATCAAAGTTGATAGAACTACCCCTCTAGCTACATGCGGGGAGTTTGCACGGGTGTGTGTTGAAGTGGATCTTAATGCCCCTTTGCTGGCCATCGTCGACCTTGATCTAGAGGAGCTTCCTCAATCATTGATTTTTGTTGAGTATGAGGGTCTGCACAAAATTTGCTTTGATTGTGGTGAGTTTGGCCACAAGAAGGATAATTGGCACTATAGCCAACAGACGACGCAGACGGCGGAGACGGCCACCGCTAGGGTATACCCTAACCAGGGAGTGGGAAACGAGCGTAGAATAATCCAAGAAATTACGGATAATTGCATGACATACGGACCATGGATGGTTCCTAAGCGTAAACCTCGGAAGACATCTCAGCAACAGAGGCCACCAAGGGAAGGAGTTTCCAATTTTAGCTCTGATAAAGCGCATTCTACGGGAGCAGCGATAATGCAGATCCTACCCAATCTACTCGCCAATCATCTCCTGCAAATAAGGTGACTGTGTGAAAATAGTAATAATAGATTTGCAGTGATTGCTGTGCTTGGTAATGAGGATTTGAAGGATATGACTCCTCTAATGGAGAGTGTGAATCTAGCGAATGGGTCTGATTTGAAGAATGATATCTCAGGAACATCTGAAATGGAGGTAGCCCAGCCCACATCAACACCGCAATTGTGTACTGCTTCCACTGAGACCTCCACTCGAGATAAAGGGCCTTTACAATCTAAATCAGTTCGCAAGAAAGATAAGGCCAAAAACAATAGATTGGGCCCCCAAGTGAAGCTGTCTAAACAGTCAGGGCTTAAAACTGTGGATACTCAGGCCATACGTCAAACCTTCTCTTCTTGCTTTGACCCTCTCCTGGATTTACAAGGAGCAGTGACTCCTAAGCCTGTTCTGAAATCTTCGGGCCAGCATCCAATGTCTGTTGATTCAAGCTAGTGTGCTAATATTTCCCACTTGAATGTTTTGACACACTCGCCTCTCACCATTA